CTACACACACACAGACACACACACACAGACACACAGACACACACACACACGTAGTCTACAGACCAGTCAGTACACCCATCTACACACACACAGACACACACACACACAGGTAGTCCACAGACCAGTCAGTACACCCATCTACACACACACACAGGCACACACACACAGACACACACACAGACACACACACAGGCACACACGCACACAGACACACACACACAGGTAGTCCACAGACCAGTCAGTACACCCATCTACACACACACACACAGGTAGTCTACAGACCAGTGGTGGTGGTGGTGAGAGGGGTGGTGGTGGTGAGAGTGGTGGTGAGAGTGGTGGTGAGAGTGGTGGGAGAAGTGGTGTGGTAGTGGTGGTGGTGAGAGTGGTGGTGGTGAGAGTGGTGGTGGTGCGAGTGGTGGTGGTGGTGATGAGAGTGGTGGTGGTGGTGGTGCGAGTGGTGGTGGTGAGAGTGGTGGTGGTGAGAGTGGTGGTGGTGAGAGTGGTGGTGGTGAGAGGGGTGGTGGTGGTGAGAGGGGTGGTGGTGGTGGTTGTGGTGGTGAGAGTGGTGGTTGAAGAAGTGGTCGTGGTAGTGGTGGTGGTGGTGAGAGTGGTGGTGGTGGTGAGAGTGGTGGGAGAAGTGGTAGTGGTGGTGGTGGTGGTGAGAGTGGTGGTGAGAGAAGGATGCCCTAGTGGTCCCCCTCTTTAAGAAGGGGGACCGCACAGACTGTAACAACTACAGGGACATCTCACTTCTCAGTGTGCCGGGAAAGGTCCTGGCAAGGATTATTCAACATCGCCTTGCCAGGCACGCTGAGGAGAGGCTTGCGGAGCCCCGATGCGGTTTCAGGAAAGGGTGGTCCTGCACAGATGCCATATTTTCTATCCATCTGCTACAGCAGAGGTGTAGGGAATTGCAACAAGACCTACATCTCTGCTTTATTGACCTGGTCTAGGCCTACGATACCATCAGTAGGCCTGGGCTCTGGGTTGTTCTTCATGCTTTCGGAGTCCCTGACACTCTGCTCACGATCATTAAGGACCTTCATGATGGTGAGCGGGCCTGGGTTAAACTACGTGGCTGGGAGTCGGAGCCATTCCCTGTACACCTTGGGGTGCGACAGGGATGTTTTCTGGCTCCCACATTATTTAACATCTATTTTAACCATGTACTTCGTGAAGCCTTCAATAACTGTACCGGGAGAATTTCCATCTGGTACAGATAGAATAGGAGGCTAATCAATGCCGGGTGCGGTCAAGGCATGTCTCCCTCTTGCTCAACCACGTTATGTATGCCGATGATCTGGTAATTGCTGCTCACTCAGAGGAGGAGTTGGAGGTGCTGCTGCTGAACCTGGAGCTTGCCACTAAGAGGTGGGGCCTTACCATCAGCCCCACCAAAAATAAGCACCTGCCAGGGTATTTTGTACCATCGGACAATCCACCAACACAACTTCCAATTGGTGATGGGGTAGTTGTGGAGAGAGTGGAGAGTTTCCCATACCTGGGCAGTGTGCTCATGACCGGCTCCGGTTTATCAGCAGAGGTCTAACTCCGAATCAGTCGAGCGGCATTATCTTTTCATCAGTTGCATAATGCTCTGTGGAAGCTGCCTGGTCTGTCACTCCGCACTAAGCTTCAGGTCTTCTCGGCCACGGTCATTCCCTCCCTTCTCTACGCTTGCGAAACGTGGACCCCCCTAATGGAACATCTTCGCCGGTTAGAAGCATTTAGGCTGGCCTGTCTACGATCCATCCTGGGTTTAACGAGGCTGGATTGTGTGAGGAGCTCACAAATCCTTGAAAGATCTGGGCAAAGTCCCATCGGTGAGCTCCTCCGGCAGGCAAGGCTGCATTGGCTGGGTCATGTAGCCCGCATGCCCAGCCACCGCATGCCGAAACAGCTTTTGTTCGGCCAGATAGAGGGGGCTAAATGGGCTCGGCATGGGCAAGAGAAGAGATGGAGTGATGTGGTACAGAAGAATGTGGAGCTGAGTGGACTTGCCGATGACCGGTACCAGCGGTGTCAAAATCGGCCTCTGTGGAGGATGCTCGTGAAGGACGCTGCTACTGGGCAGTTGGAGGCAGTCGCCCTCCAGCAACAACGGAGGGCGGAGGAGCGACGCTCACAACAACGAGCGGAGCGCCGGGTGGCTAAAGCACAGCAGGTTGGCACAGTAGGGGGCACAGGTGGTGCATCAGCCAGTCATCTCAGTCATCTCAGTCAGTCGACCCGTGGCACCTGCTGGGTCCGCCCCGTGACCTCCTGCCAGCGGGGGTTCGAAACTTCACGTGGCCTCAACGTGCACCTAGCCTGGCACATAAGTCGTGGTGTCGTCACCGCCACTTAGTTGTTAAAGTCTGCGCGGTCCCCTTTCTTAAAATTTGATACTCCGACTGATGCTTCTGTTGTTGTGGAGTAACTCATGCAGCCAGCTATGGCTCTAGGATTTGGTGTTACATGTTATTTACGTAGTTTATTGTAAAAAAAAATCGGTCACAGTCCCTGTGATCACTGTTACGTTGCAATTATGGCTTTATTTTCTGGTGATTTCGAAAACGTTTTTTTTGGTTTGGACATGTTTGTTTTGTTGTAGTACGGAGTTAGACTGATGGCCTTAATCTAAGTTTTCTTGTGGTTGTTGTTGTTGTTGTTTGACTTGTATCCCACTGGGATTTTTTTGCACACAGCGTTGGTGTACGGTGCTTATTTCAGGAATATTTTTGCTGTTTTTTTCCATGAATTTCCTGTTTGCACAGTCAACACATAGTCACTTTAAGATGTTTCCCTTGTTCGTGTTTTTGTTTTTTTGTTTGTTGAGGTTGCACCCGATTCAAGATCCGAATGGCTCACAGGGCTATACCAAAATAAATAAACTGAAAAAAAACTTAAAGAGGGGGACCACCAGGGCATCCTTCCAATCCTGCGGAACCCGTCCAGTGGCCCAGACTGTTGTTATGATGTCATGTAGGGCAGTCTGTGCACAAACGCCACCCTCCCTCAGCATTTCGCTTGGGAGATCATCTCTGCCCGGTGCCTTTCCTGGTCTCAGACTCCGGATCGCCTTCAGTACTTCCTCAACAGATGGCACCTCAGCCAGCCACTCACAGGGTGTGACTTCTTCTTCCAATATTTGAGGCAACGCAGCCTCAGCAGGGTCATCCCCACTTTGTGCCACGTTGTTATCCAGGCTGAGGGATTTCCCCATCCCCCCGGACCACACAGAACCGCTCAGCAAATCTGCAAATCTGTTCCTGCGGGTCGAAGATTTGATCACCGTTCTTTCCCCTCATGATCGAAAGATGTGTGGTGCTGCAGGTTACTTTTTTCATGGAATTTAACAGCGATTTGTGATCACTGGGCACTGACGCAGATTCCATCTCCTCAGCAACCCGCGACCACCACCCATCCTTGCGGTGTCTCACGGCTCTCCGAAGCTCTGAGTGAAGGCTGCGGTAAGCCTCCTCATTCTCTGACGTGGGATGCTGTAGCCGATGACAGTGGGCCTGTCGCTTTTTCTACGCCAGCCTGAACACCCCCTCTGTCAGCCAGGGTCTCTGGGGAGGTCTGGACCGCATACCCAACGCAGCCATTGCAGCTGCATGAGCCACAGTCCTAAACCTCGCCCATTTCGCCTCGACACCAGGAGGAGTGGGGGATGATGCCAACCCCAGCCACAAGCGATGATAAAATTTTTGCTTGAAACTTTCATCAGCTATCTGAGACCAGGCCACTATGGGTTTGAATGAGTCCTGGGTGTACACCTTTCAAAATTACTCTATCCCGAGGAGCCACTTCAGCCAGCACCTGTGACAGGAGGTCATAGAAGGCATCTGACTCATCGGCCTTGCCTGCATCCCTCCACGGATGTTCGTCTTCGGTGGGGGCATAAGTAACCACGACACACCACTCCTCGCCTCCAGTTGATGGAAAGGCGAGCCCAAAGTAGCCTGGGGCTGACAGCTTTCCACACCTCACTGCCACGCTCCCACGCCCCCTTCATTATTTTGTTCAGAAGAAGAGCCACTCCCTGTTGTTTGGCAGTCTCCTGCTCCGAGTAGAGGTCTGTCCACCCCTCATGGTGGCAGGAGCCAGAACCGGTCCACCGGACCTCCTGAATACCACAGAGATCCAGGCGGTACTGGTGCAGCTCCCGACAGAGGAGTGGCATCCTCTCCACCACAGTGAGGGTTCGAACATTCCACGTGGCCACCCGCAGTGGCTTTTTGCTGTTTCTGGAGGAGCCCCGAGGGTAGAGATTCAGTCTCCTGGCTTCGCCAATTGGGGTTTGGCCAGGAGACGTCATGGACGCCTGTCCACCCGGGGCCTCCGGCACAAGCTTAATACATTTTTATTTCGTGGTTTAGTGGTAATTTATTTGAAGGTGGAGGGGTCACCAGCCACTCGCACCCGTCCAGAGCCCCCATTTGGCCGCTGTGGTGACTACAAACGCCATGAGGGGAATGGGGAATTGAATTTGGCCCTCTCCCCATGACAGTGCCCACCACAGCGTTACCTATCCGGCACCAACGAAGAGGTAGGGGGTTGTTTTGCACACACACGCACACACACGTGCACACACACGCACGAGCACACACATACACGCACACACACGCACACACACACAGATGCATGCCCACGCACGCACACACACACACACGCCGCACACAGACGCACAAAACACGCACGCCAAAATCCCCCCGAGGATCAGCTACACCGCTGATTGCAAATCGCACCGTATATTCACAGCACACAGCCTCCCACGCACACACATACATCGACTCGCACACATACACACACTCACATGCATGCACACACTCACACACATTCACACACATACACACATAGACTCAAACACACGCTCACACACGTACACAAACTCACACACTCGCACACATATATTTACACATTCACACACATTCACACACTAACACACTCACACACACACTCACACACTCACTCACTCACACACACACTCACACACACACTCACACACACACTCA